GAGAGAGCTGTTGAATATCTGGAGAGCAAGTTTCACATTTTACTTCTCAATGCTTGACAGGCAAAGGGCTTTCCTTGACCCTTTGTATCCATAGCGCAGCAGTTGGTCGCATTCCAAGTCATAGGCGGCTTGATGGTTTTGAACGATGCACACAGCATGAGCCGCTGGCCCTCTGTGTCAGCCTGAACCTCAGGGAACCAGATGAATTTATTGTCTTGCTTCAGCCAATTATTGCGCATGCACATGATTATCTGAACATGATTATCTGTGCGTATGCACATGATTATCACAAAAAACAGTGGCCTGTTGGGATGAGACAAATGTGGATAGAAAAACTTGTTTGAACGACGCGTTGTTGATACCAGGTGTGTCGTGGTCGTCCTAAAGAGAGCCATAGCCTTTCGATTCACTGCGTTGTTATCCGTTACGGCGCACATCCCCCGGTAGCCGATTTTCTCGAGCCTGCAAATCATGTCTCTAAGCAACTTGTGGACAAACTCTGCGTTGGCTCCGTGCTTGGGTACGATGTGAGCGATGTCCTTAAATGGGCACTTTATGCTTTGCACCATAAACCCAAACGCACTATTCGCTACTTCTGCGGAATTGTAAGTGCGGCACCCACAATGTTGCCTCCTTTATAATCGAAAAAGGGCCTTATATGGACCTTGTCCACCATCAAGGTCACATAACATTGGTCATTGTTCAAGTCAGAAATCCTCTTTGCCATGTAGCTGAGGAAACTTGAACTTTGCTGTTCTTCTTGAGGATTCACTCCAAACGATGTGCATATTGATCGGATGGTCTTAGGGTGCAGCAGAACAATGCTTCCACAGCCACGAATGTACTGGTATGCATGAGGCGATATTGTGAAGAGAATGCATGCAAACACCATAAAATCCACTGAATAACGCCTTTGCTCTCTCTTGGTAGAAATCTCTTTCTCCTTCCACTGTCGAGCAAGGAGAAGTGTGTATGACCTTCCCATGATGTGTTCTGCATCTTGTGCAGAGCCTCTTGGGATTTTTTGCAAAGTGGTCTGCTGCAAAGCTCGCTCGGGCCAGCCGACACCAGCATGCGGAAAGAGGTCGACGCCTCATTTCTGAGTGTTCCTCAAGCACAAAGCATCACTAGCCATCTTTAGGATACGGCACAATAAATCTTAGATATGCAAGTCGGTAAAGAGTCAAAAATGAAAAAACAGGAAGATGAAAAAAGGGGGCGATTTTCTTCACTTTCCTTGCAAGTCGACCTTCAACAATCAGCAAAAAATTAACTTGATGCAACAGAATCTTTCAACACGCACATTTCACAAAACCTACTACGAAAAGTAATTCAAGATTACGTACAACCCCGAAACTGTTCGAACTGAGTTGGGTTGTCCTTTAAAGGGACACTGACAGGGTATTTATGCTCGCCGAGGTTTTTAGTTGTATGCGACATATGAGAGCTCAACTACCCAGAACAGAATTTGCGGCTCGAAATTCGGTTTCTTTCCACCCGAAAACCGCCGATCAAGAACTGGCCGGTTCGAGTCTCGCTCACTCTCTTTTTCGCGGTCACGGGCCGTTTTCTAAGGTATCGATGCGACCACCAAATTTAATCAAAGTCGTGGGTCACTGAAGGCACACACTCAATATTAAAAATAGAAAAAAATATGAAACCCATTTTTTGTGGCTTCTAAAAAGCTGTAAATACGTTGATTGAAAAAAACGTTCCACAGACAACCGGAAGCATTCTGTGCATTCGTCGTTTCGCGCGCGTATCGTGGGACTCGCGGGGACGGCGATGGCAGCGGACGACGGGCGTGGGACCTCTATCTCAGAACTGTCGTTCGCGGTACCGGCGAATTCTGCCTACCGTTAAAAGAGAAATTTGGGACTGATCAAAAGAATTGGTATTCATCCCGTACGACACGCCCGGCCACCAAGCCGATTTGCACGAAGACGTCGCCGAGCCGTCGCTCCCTTCTCGTGGCTGAAGACATCGCTCGCGCAAACGTCAAGCACGACGAGTCTACTTCGAGTTGAATATGCACGCGTACGATTTCTTTACTAGGTGCGAATGTCCCCAAAGCGTGGTGCTTCCCGATTTCGACCCGGGAGTGCTTTTGCTAGAGAAAAATCGAGAGCAAACTTTCCAACTTACAGTTTACCGGCTGAATTATTACTAAGGAAAGAGATCCCCCACAAAAGAGATGCCCCAGTAGCTCAGTGGGAAAGACGTCCGGTTCACACGCGGTAGGAACCAAGTTTGATCCCCTGTGGAACTTTTCTTTTTTTTCATTTTTTTTTTTCAAACATTTTTTGACGTTTACATATATTTTTTTTTTTTTACAATCATCATTGAAGGAACAAACAAAAAAAAAAAAATAACAAACAAATGTTGTGGACGATACTTCGCTGAATTAAATGGTATGGGATTTCCGTTTTGACACCTGCGAACTCAATGTAATCACTTTCCACAAAATGCAAGGAGCATATAAATCTGGTAGCGTCCGCTTTCCGAGGTGCCCGTATATGTTCTACAGGAATTGCAGCCAGCCATTGGTCCCAATCCCGTTGATCTTTCGGAAACTCTGTCGCACAATACCACTTTTTTTCGGATGCAGGACATGTGAGCCAGCTCTTCACGCAACATTTTGGGTGTATTCTTTTCGGAGCCGATCATGGAAATTCACCACGGGCACTCACTATTCATCTCCAACTCCTCAATGTACAAAACAACTCATCTTGGAGTACAGAAAAACGAGCGGAAGAAACATAACTGCAAAAGAATCGCACGGCGAGCAGTTCACACGCCGCATGTCATGTCATCTGCTACAGAGAAAGGGAGAGAAAAAAAACAAAAAACGCACGGTCGGGTGTAGCCACGTGACTTCCGCCACTCACTCTCTTCTCTCCACTTCTCCGACCTCCGTCGGGTTTCGGTTTCGGTTTCGAGCAGTTGCGTCTTTTGGCTTTATTAAAAAAATACGCTACTCTGTTGCAAAATATTAATTGGGTAGTCCTCCGACACCATAATGAAGCGCCTGGAAAAAATAAAAAAAAATTTTTGGGGGGGGTGTCAGTGTCCCTTTAATGCTGATAGCCTGAAAGCCTTCTTATCCAAGGATGCAGGAACGCGCAGAAAGTATGCAAAGCCGAGAAGCATAATCGAACGAGAAAGTGTACAAAAATAGAGATCCACGGCAAGCGAGTCGCACAATCGCCCCGTCTATTTTAACGTTAACTTCTAATGTCCTATTCTGCACTCAAATAAAGTGCCACGAAGCCGCAAAAAAATCCTCACCATTCCGTTACTCTCTCTTACCCATCTCAAAGGGACGTTAAGCAATTATTACAATCTCAATCCAGCAGTCCGACAACAGTCCTGGTAGAATCCTCAGGATGACTACAGTTTATGGAAGACAGAGCTGGCTTAGAGAACAGCAGATGCCGTTCTACGGTGTGCAATAGTGAGAGAGACCCTCTACATAAACTACTTCAGGAAAATCTCAAAGCAGAATTAGACAGCCCTGACCTTGAAAACACCTTGTCCTGTATTCGCAAGGTGCGAAACTCTCCAATCTCAAGGGCGTTCAAGTTAGGCCAATTTCATTTTAAAGTCGGCTGCAATGTAAGGCCCACAGCACAAGCTCCGTCTCCTGTGTCAGCTGACTACCCTCAATGACAGCTCGGCGCATCTGCAGCCAAAGCGTGACGAAAGGTAACGAGCGTGTGCTGGGGGCGGAGCTTCTCTTGGGGTTCTTATGTTGCACCAGACTGTAGTCCAGTGTTTATGTTGCTGCTGTTGCCAAGAGACACTGAAACCATCTGCTCGAGTCATGTGAAACTCCATTAATGGCTACTAAACTAACATGTTTGCATGCCCAGATGTACAAAAGGATCCTGTCACCACTCAACTAGTACCAATAAAAGAATTAAGCTAGTGGTTTTATGCGAAGAAACTCCTGACTGTGGGGATGCCAAAGAGTGTGGACATGTTCATCATACTCTCGAGATTTGGGGCCCTATACTACACAGTGGGACCAAGGGACCGGAACAACGCGGTTTGTTGCTATTGGTCAGCGGCGCGGAGCTGACCAACTGCTGCAGACGACGTTGCCCCAACCCCTTGGATCCACTTGGTCCCGCCGTGTAGCATATAGGACCCCTGCAGTCCCAAATTTGTAGCTTTCTTTCTATGTTTCTAACTATCATGTTAACAGACTGAATCCCATTCAGTCTGTTAACAACTGAATCCCATTCAGACATATCAGTTTCACTGAATGCCACTAAATGCAACTCGCACAGGGCCAGTACCGGCGCACGTGTGGCCGCTTCTCATAAAACGACTTCCGGGACTTGTCACCATAATAGGCGTTGTTGTGACTCTATCGCCTTTCAGAGGCACAAAGGACTAACAGCAATTCCAGAAAGGAATCAGAAACGACAGCCAGTATCTACAGGGTGTCACAAAAGAAAATTTATGCAGTCTTTTTTACCGCAAAAATAAACTAGGCATCGCCAAACGCTCATTCTCCGCCCATAGGTAGAGCTAGAGGTCACAACCAGATGCCAAAGTTTCAGCCCGATCCGATAACTTAATCAAAAGTTATAAATGATTTTCTGAAAACTTCAATGGGAAAATGGCGGCCGACAGAGTTTTCGAACACATGGGGCTCTATGACACCAGAAACCGAAAACGGGCAAAAATGGGCTTCATTTTCCCATTGAACTTTTCAGAAAATCACTTATAACTTTTGATTAAGTTATCGGATCGGGCTGAAACTTTGGCACCTGTTTGTGACCTCTAGCTCTACCTATGGGCAGAGAATGAGCGTTCGGCGATGCCTAGTTTATTTTTGCGGTAAAAAAGACCGTGTAAATTTTCTTTTGTGACACCCTGTATACAGTTATCGTTATCAGAAATCCAGCGTGAGTTCCTGCGAGTCTGGTCAGTGCAGCCACTCAAGACGTCACCCCTTGGCCCAAGACAAGCAGAGAGACAGAGACACTCACCGATGAAGACGAATATCTGGTGATGTGAATAGCGCAGCAGCATCGAGATGGACAATGTCTGAAAGTGGAGAACAAACAGAGACAAAAACAATTAAAGTCGCTTACAGCCCCCTGTAACACCGAATTAGAGCACAGCTCTTGAGGAGGAGGAGGGAAGGGTACCGAGGGGAGGGTAGACTCCTCCTCCTCCTCCTCCTCATCCTGTCTGCTACTCCTACCTCCGAGCGGCGTCCCCGTCCCCGTCGGCGTAACCGTGAGGTCACGCAACCCTTGTGACCTCACAGGGGTCACGTGATGTCACCGGGGTCATGTGACCTCACTGAGGTTATGCGACGTCACCGGAATCACGTGACCTCACAGCGATTACGTGACGTCACCGGGGTCACGTGGCCTCACAGAGTCACGTAGCCTCACAAGGGTCACGTGGCCTCACGGAGTCACGTGGCCTCACGGGGGTCACGTGACGTAACTAGGGTCACGTGACGTCACCGGGGTCACGTGACCTCACGGTTACGCCGATGGCGACGCCGCTCCAGTCCGAAACAGGCGTCTAAGAGCTGCACTCTAAAATTACAAAGACCTTACATTGTCTAGCAGAGGACAGTTTTTTACGGCATCCGTCTGCGCACAACACACGTCCAATTGGAGCGACAGCAGATGGATGGTGCCAGCGGTCGACAAAGGGCGTTCAGCCACGATGTAGTGATTTCATGAGGCCAGCCTTTGGCACTTTGTTGTTGGCCTATGTAGCCTCGATGGAGCGTGCAGCGCAGGGCGTGCAGTCATGATTGCACACTCTGCGTGCAATCGGTAATTAGTATATTCTTGGAGCGGGGACTTTTGTCAGTGCGCTCTCAGCAACAGCAGAGTGCACACTTTCATATACTACAAAGGCTCTTGCTAGGCAGTCTTTGTGTACCCCAAAGTGGCACCGGAGCCACAGTGGGAGTTGCAGTAACGTAAAGAGGGAGGAACAAGAAACGCAGCTGCAAGACGAAAGCACTGGGCTCATATGCGATAGGAAGCCAGTCGCCATTATGCAGCAATCGGCCGGCAGTTCGACTGCAAGTTCACGAAAAATCAGTCTAGTGTGGTGTAATGTGTTCAACAGGTAGAGGTTTCGGGCGGACGTAAGCAAAGGCGTCCTAAATGCATGGTGTTTGGAACACCTCTGGGAAATGACGGCGAGACAGCCAAACTTTTCATGCTCCTGTCTTTTGTGGCACGTTACGTTTCCACTTTGTTCGAGAATTAGGTCGCTCGGCTGCTAAAAAAACGTTGTCAGCTTTGGCCGAGGCTTAGAGGCTAGAGGAGCTTCATTTTGCCTCGTGGCCCACTACTGTCATCTGTCAGTTCCCACTGTGACATAAATACGAGGTACGATCAAAAAGTTCCGAGGTCGATTTTGTAGCGTAAAAAGAGGGCAGCACGGTGATGTGCGTGCAGCAGTCCAAGGCAGGACCCTCGTACCACATTATGCCAAAGGGTGTCGTTACGTGAAGATTTGAAGCTGCTCGATACAAGTCTTTGTTACCACGTGTGTGAGCACAGTGGTGATTTTGCCATAGACTGCAAGCCAGAGCGAGAGCGAACATCAGTTCTGCATCAAACTCGGCAAATCTAAAACAAAGCTATCTGAAATGATTCGGCAGGCTTATGTCGAAAAGCAGTGAAGCGTGCAAAGTGTTTTGAGTGGCACTCAGACTTTAAGAATGGCAAAACATCGCAGGCAGACGAAGAGAGGTACGGCGACCTTCTCCAACCCCAATTTGTCTTCCAGTGATGTCCTGCCATTCTTGAAGCGTGAGTGCCACTCAAAACACTTTGCACACTTTACTGCTTTTTGACATTAGCCTGCAGAATCATTTCGAAGATCTCCGGTTTAGATTTGCAGAGTTCGCCACAAAATCGATGTTCGTTCTCGCTCCGAGCAAAGCTTAATGTCTCCCTCCAATCTGGCGGGGGTCTCTCCTAGCTCGGGCACAGGTAGAGGCCCCCGTAAAAAGGAAGGGAGGGGGGCTCTATTTGTGCTTCCTCAATAACACTAAACCGACACTTCTACAGCTATGCATTCTTTCAATTTATCCGGGAGTTCTCATCTCTGTTCCCCAAGCACAGGACTAAGGCAAAGAGACCTTGGGTACAGTGGGGGGTCGCTGACCCCCCGCCAAAATTGGGGGGGGGGTCCTGGACCCCCCCCCCCCCCAAGACCCCCCAGACTTTAAGCACTGGTTCCGGGTTTCAGTGTATAGACCCTTTTCTCTGCAAACGCCACCAGGCGGTGCTTCAGTCTTTCACGTCCCAGCGAACTTCCAATTTGTAAAAAGAATGAACAAAGTCCACCTTAACACTGCTGCTTGAAACCTCAATAAAACATTTGACCACCAATTCTCCAGGCGAATGCCTTAGAAATCGGGAAGCACGAGATATGTTCAATTTTTTCAATATTCTTGAAAACCAACCCGTCTTCTCCAAGACCTTAAATCGTACAGCCGAAGGCCATCACTAAATCTTCAACTTTGTTGTCTGTCTAACATTTATACTTTCTAGCACTGGTGACATAAACAAGCTCGACAGACTAGCAAAGACGGAGCGACCGGAACTTGCTTGGGACGCAAGCAGGGGTTCATGTTTGTAAACAGTAAAAAGGTCTATAGCGAAATCGTCATTGCACTCGAGCACAAGGTAACAAAAACTCATATTCTACGGCTCCGGATCTTCACAGAACGATATCTTTCAGCATAATGAGACACAAAGGTCCCTTCCTTCGACTGCTGTGCACGCAGCGATGTGCTGCCCCCTCTTTTTAAAATAGAGAAACAGTCTCGGAACTTTTCGATCCCATCTTGTAAATGGTCGTTGCCAATCGCACGATGTTCCGAAGTCCGCTGTCTGTAATCCCGATAGTTTCCTTTTGACACCTCCAAAGGGTTCGCAGCATCTAAACTCGGCTAGAGACTGCTCAAACAGGGAGTGCATATTCCGCGTTCCGTTGCATGCTCTCCGGGAGTTTTATTAGCCTTGAGGATCGAATTTGCGTCATGTGACACTGCACTTTGGTAGTCTGACGATTCCACACTTCTCTTGGGACATTCCGTTTCGTTGAGGCTGCAGATTCAGTCGTGGCTCGTCGAGAAGACAGATCTAGCTTTTGAAATATTCTATACGGCACAAAACCGTAGACACAGGGTGTCACATAGCTGAGCTGCGGCATTCCTCAGGCATCGGATAATGTGTACACTATACATATGTGGAAGAATGCAGCTTTTTCGCCCAAAAGTAGGGAACGACGTGCCAGAACGAATGCTGAAATGCAATATGTGTACCCTGTGTGTGAGAGATTTCTTACAGCAATACTTTGGAGAGGTCAAGATGTTGTTCGGTCGGCAAATGATGCCAGAAAAAGCAGCACTCGCAACATTCTAGAAAATTTTCCATAAATGTAGCGAAGCCACGAAACACTCGCAACAAGATACACTTGGTACTTAATAAATCCAAACACAAAATGTACACTCAGAAATAATGTGAGCCGAAACGGACGAGCAATGACCGAAACATAGCGGTAGTGTTGCCCCAACGCAAGTTGAGGTATCAACGACATAGAGCATGCGGACGAGATTGCAGTGGTTACAGTTACCTGACTGAGCTTAATCATGCTTGAAAACTGTGCATTGGTGCTACATACGTGCTACAGTTAAACCTTGATCTAACGAACCCCTATCCAACAAAATTCATGATTTAACAAAATTTTTTTTGGTCTCCCTATTTTGTTCCCATGGAAGACAATGCATTTTATCTCTCAATTTAGCTCAATACTTTTGCACCGCAGTTTAGATATAATGAAGTCTTTGGAAGTCACATCTACACAAGTCGGCAGCCTCTGCGAGAAAAAAAAAAGAATTAACAGAAACAAACTTTACCGTTGAAAACTAAGCATAAAAATGTGCAATCATATTTTTCACAAAATAAAAGAAAATAAACACCAGTGGTGGTGGTGGTGGTGATGAAGATGATGGGTAGGCTTATAGCCTCTGCCTCTTGTAGGAAAAAAAGAAAGTCCGCCATTACAGTAACTGACCGATTTTTCGGACGCCAATAATTTGGACTTGTTCGATATTTCGGACCTAAAAGAGGAACCGTGACCTAAACAATAGAAATAGTGCATATTCACGACCAATGTTTCGGACAACTTGAAGTCCGAAAGTTTAATTTTTCGGACAAAATCGTCGCGAGCGATTAGCGGGAAATACCACCGAGAAGCGGCCATTTTGAATTCTATGTTGGCTGCACATGGATTGGCTTGGTTTGCCAGCGCTACTTGAGGGAGGACGCGAAAATCAACTCACGAAAAATGTCAAAAAAGTTGATTTTTAGAAAGTTGAATATTTCACATCGTGGGTCTTTCACTATGCCCTATCAAAGATTTTTTCGTTGAAAACTATCTCCAAGTGCTCTAAATAATCACTTATATGAGGTCAGGTAGCAGAATGTTGCTTCAAATCCGCAAAAAAATCAATGTTTTTCAAACCTCCACTTTTCCGCGACGGCGCTATCGGGCATCTTGGTATTGATGAAAAGCGCATTTCGTCATCTTTCCATTTCCCGCCTGTACAGTCCCCTCACAGGCGCGGTAAGCACATAACAAACAAAACTTCGGAAGCCTCCCAGATGGAAACGGTGCGTTATTATCATCATTGTTGTTATTTCCATTTTGCTTTGTTCATTCGCCATTGCAGTCATGGACTTGCAACTCTGATCTCGTCTCGGTAAATCGTGTTTTCAAACTACGCTGGCTTGGACGTCATTGCCCCATCTGTTCCTCCACTGCCGCAATGTGTCGCTAAGAAGCGCAGAAAGCACTCAACCCTAACGCTACAAAAGAAGGCAGCGATTCTCAAGCTAACAGAAAGTTGCCAAACGAAAACAGAGGCGTAACCTAAAACAAGGTGCGTAGGCGTAACCTGAAGCAAGGCACTATTTACGGCTTTTTTAAGCCCGCTTAGACGTAATAAAGGCAGGTTTTTTAATCTGCAGATTTTTCGGACCGCTCTATTATTTGGGCATTTTTTCGGTCCCTGCGAAGTCCAAAAAGTCGGTCGGCGACTGTACATCCACCTACGCTCAATGACCTAGAGCTCTCACGCGTCTGCAACAACGAAAATCCTTTCGTTCTTTGAGTGTTGCGCTGGAAGTGGTTGTGCTCTTCTTGGAACAATGAGTGGTGCACTGAGCAAAAGGAAAGTTCTGTCGCTCGACATCAAGGTGAAAATAATCGCCGTGGTGCATTGGCTTTGTTTTGCTTTCCCAACTACACGCTCTGCTGCAATGCTAGGCACTGCACCCATAACCATACAAAATGAGGGTTGACGAACTGCATTCTTCTATTACGGCCACATTTTGTAGTGCAATTTTTTGTAAATGCTCTCTCGCAAGATGGGAGGCAATCGGAGGGTTTTGGGGGCCTGGAAGACCGATTGCGATGCTAAAACAAAAACCTCTTTACAATGAAATTCGCAATTTAACGAAATTTTCGCCTCAAAAGACGACTTCGTTAAATCGAGATTCAATTGCACTACCATGCACGTTTGCAGTTACGTATTGTCACTTTTGCTCATTTACATGTTTGATCAATGATTTAACCAACACCAACTAGATAATGACGGAAGATGAAAAGGCTTAGTCAGACAGCCGTGGCCGCCGCACACTCGTCCACACAATACCTCCCATTTGCTCGTACAACTTCTCGCATCGAGGCAGCGCTACCGGTATCTTTCGGTCGTCATTCAGTCGTTTCAGCTTGCTGCATACACGCATGTAATGGCTGTACTCACGTAGTAACCACACCCATAACACCTAAAAAAAAAAAAAAATCTATTTTTTTTAATTACTTATTTGTATTAGTGATTTGAAGAAGTTTGGAAGCGCCATCTGCTTTTTGGCACTAAAACAAGCAACCTCAGAATGCTCTGTCAGCAGCTTGCGCCATTTGTTCTTATGCGCCCTCTTGGGCTCAGAGCTAGCGTAATGACTGAGGGTACGGTCGGTTTTAGTCTTCCCGCCAGCGGCTCTCTCCACGGGCAGCAAGTATGTGAGCTACACAAAGACCATTTTAAGCTGAAGGTTGTTTTGTTTGCTAAACATAGTGGCAAAAGAGCAGCCTGACAGAAATTCGAAGTTAACGAAAAATGTGTATTTTGTCGGTGCCTCAAAGGAGACGCCCTAAGGAAGACGAAGCAAACAAAGCTAGCTCTCCGAGGGAAGAAGAGCATGTTACACGAGGGAAAAGGTCAGGAAGATTAAGATGGCGATGTGGAGACGATTTCTGAAGGTGCGGAGCCAACCCGTGGAGGATTGTACGGATTATACTGACCGTAGCGCAGACTTAAACTGCTGATGTGTTCGTAAAAGCAATAAAAACTTTTTTTTTTTCTTGCGACATATGGAAGTAATTTTATATTTTATTTCAAAAAATATTTTGCAAACAAAAATCTTTTTTTTTTTTTTTTTTTCTCCGTGCAATGGTCGCATCCCTAACTTTCACTTTAAAACTCAAAAAAAAAAAAATTTGCGGCTATTACACGCATATTTACGGTATGTTGTTTACGACTGTACAGCGATGCCATCTGCAAGAAAGTGAGGCGAGTTCAATCATGAGAATGTAACATGAGGATGAGGTGTTTCCTTAGAACGTTAGTACAGCAGAACCTTGTTGACACGCTCTCTGTTGATACGTTTTCCCGGCTGTTACGTTCCTGAATTCCCGAAGTCCGTTGAATGCCTATAGTGACATGTGTATTAACTTTTCGTAAGTCTGCTTTCTCAAATGTTACGTCGAAAATCGCTATTTTTTTTTTTTGCTATTTTTTGGTGTAGAGTGTTGTTTCATTGTATTGAAGTTTTCCCTTTTTCATTATGTCCTGAACTATGTATTACACGTCCACCCCTGCCGGGGCCCTAGCGGGGCCTGCAGTATTGTTAAATAAATAAATAAATAATAAATACTGCTGACGCAGTGCACGGGGCTGCCTCAGTGCAGCCAAGTCTGTCTTTCATCGCTGTCTTTTTTTTTTTTTTTTTTTTTTTTTTTTGCATCTCCACACTATGCTTTGTAGGCTGTTCTTCCCAGCCAAGCACGACCTCGAACTGGGTGCAGGAAGAACACGCCGACCGATGCAGACAAATCTTCAACCACTCTCTCTCAGATGCTCAATGAAAGTTGCGGTTGCCGCTAAACTCGCACGCCGTATTTCAAAAAAAAAAAAAATCGGCCAATTGTCTCTAGTTTTCTTGAAGGAATTCTGAATGCATAGCACTAGTAATGCCTTTGCTTGTGTCCGCCCCAAAACTGCTCGTCTGCGCGTGGCACACACCGCACCGAACACGTTTTTTGTGAACTGGCACTCGAACTGTCGGTCGACCGCTGCGTCTAGGCAACCAGGTCCCTTGCCTTTCAACCCTCGACCTAACTGCGCCCAGCGTTGTCAACAACGGCAACGTGAGGACCAACACAAGGACCGCAAGCGAGAGCCTTTTTGGCATGGGTAGTCTCCTTGGCTGTTGCCAAACACACTGAGAAAAGTCTCCACTCCACACTGAGAAAAGTCTCCACTCAAAGATCAAATGCCGACGGCATGCTTTGAACTGCACGCCCCATCAAGGATACCATATTTACACAAATGTAGGTCGACCCTTTTTTTAATTTATGAAAATCTGAAGCGGGGGGTCGACTTATAATCAAACCAAAGCATTCCATGGTGGGCAAAAACGAAACAATCGCAATATCATAAACACCTCGGCTTGTTACGAGTTAAGCCGGCTGTACCTCTAGCATTGCACTATTCTTTGCGCTCATTTTACAAATTAATTATTTTTTTTTATTTGCGCGAACGAGTATTATTGATAGCGATTCGCAAATTAACCCGAATATACAGCGGTGAACAGCGCACGGTGCGCCCGACTCCAGGGGGGGTGGCGGCACTTCTTGTAAGAGCCACTCCAGAGCTACTCACGACCACAATGAATAAGCTCACAACTTCGCAGTTTTTTGCGCGATTCACAGTCGCACATCGTTTGATCGAGTGTCGAGATCATGCTGGGGCGCTAACTATGTTTATTTTGTATCGACACGCGTAATCCGGGCAGTTCAGGTTTTCGGTGCCCGTTTATGGCCATTCTTCACTCAGAAGCAACCAACAAGTGCGCTGGTGGACGCAAGTTCGACCTGTCGGAGCGGGTGATGCTCCAGTGGAGTCTGCAATGGTGTGGGATCTTAAACTGTGCCGACAAACAGCTTTCAGGCCAAGGACTAGATAGGTGGGGATGCCTTCCGGAGTTAGAGGTCAGGCTTGCAACCTACGGCGCAAAAGTGTGCAATCAGTCCCTACCCGTGACGTCCAACGCGATCGCCGAGCAAGCGCGGAGGATGCGGCTGATCCTGCCATTTGCGAAGTGCAAGATTTCGTTGGACGACTCCGATGACGGGCTTCGAGAATGTGGCAGTGATTATGATGGGACTGACATCACTAGTGCGAACGAGTCGTAGTCTAGTCGCGGGCGGAGTGAGAACGACAGTGAGCAGCTTCAGTTGTCCCGCCTGCAGCGTGAACTTTTTAGTTTCGATAACGCTTGGGCATCTCATGCAGCTCACGCGTGCATGCGCAGCCAAAGCACGCCAGAAGGCGTCGATCGTGTGTTGGAGGCTCTGCTTTCGAAACAGATAGTACTTTGCCGTTCTCACGTGTTTGCAGTAAAATGCGCATCGAAAGATTTCTTTTTTTTTGCTGATGTGCAATGTGGGGGGGGGGGGGGGGGGGGGGGGGGGGTCGACTTACAATCATGTAAATACGATACTTCCCAGGCTCGAAAACAAAAGCACTAGGAGCCAACCCTATAACAACAACATACTTAAAAAAAGAATTAATAAACCTTCTCTTAATTCTCTGACAGTCATTGCCATGGCAGTTGCACATTTGAAAGTGCAACCACCACCCAAACACGAAACCGCATGCGTTGCGGGAGGTGTTGCTATTTGTTATGTCTTCGAAAAACTATGAACGTCATCTCCACATGGTGTTTCGCTTTGCTGGGGCTATTTATAGAAATGTCGTTTCGCATGTCCGTTGCACCGACGGTGGCGGCGATGAAAGCACCCTCTCCTCCGAATCAGACTTCTAACGCTTCTTCAAATTGAGTTCAGAGGATGAGGGCTTCCTGTCCGACGGAGGAACAGCTCTGCAAAGTACCTCCAGTTCAGAATCTGAAACTACCGGAACCCCGGGGAAGCAGACGTGGTAAAACAGAACCAAACGGGAGAAAGGCGACAACTCTTTGCCTTCAATATTTCTATTCGGTCTGCCTAAAACTGAACAGCTTGCAAGCACCGTACGTGTATCCGCCAAATAATTAAGAAATGACGTGCAGATTGACCCTTTCTTTAAATTGTTCCTTTGTAAACGAAACTTGAACGCCGCAAAACGTCGTTTGTGCGAAACGCTCGACCATCAGAGGGTTAAAAGAAGGCTTGGAACTGTTTGTAGCACCAAATCTCTAACCGATCGCTCTTTCGTTGCGTGCAAACACACCGCCCTGGTGCACCTCGTCGTCGGGGTGCTTTCGAGGTGACGTGGCTGGAGTTGGTGGGTGCGAGAGATACTCACAAAGACGACCATGATGAAGGCGGCTGCAATGTACGACGAGCGACTTGTCCACATGCTGATGAAGCGGTAGTGCTCTCCGGTCACGACGTTGCGCACGTAACCTACAACAGAGCGTGGAGAAAGAACGCAAGAATGAGCATCAGTTGTACGTCCGACTGACCTCGACTTCAGGACCTGAAGCCGACGGAAACCAAGGCGTGCACCAGAAACATTCAAAGCTCAAGACAAGCGAAACATGTTACGAAGCGAGTGCTGGCCCACAAGAGAACAGTGAAATTTCCCTGGTGAAAACACTAGCAGCACCTCTACAAATTGCTCGATCGAGAGTAAAGCAAATGAAGGTAAGCAATCTTAAAAGAGCAGACTGTTTCACAGTGGAGGCAGCTACTGCATCTAACTCTATATATATTCTCACCACATCCTTGCAGAAACAAAAGAACAAAGAAAGGGAAATGGTTTGTGTTGACCACACATTCCTGTTAAAATGGTGGTATCAAGAACACGTTTCTAAGAATAAGGTTTTCTGTATCGTCTCCGCTCTCTATTCTCACTCGCTTTTGTAGGGAGTAAAGCTCACTGTAGACGACACTCATCATAATTCCGAAATGGATGTTACCGAGGGCCAATCTAAGATCGGAAGAAAGTTGCGTGGTGTGTCGCAAGTACCTTGGGTGCACACGTGTGGAAGTGTAGCTGGCAGCTATGTTGAAACGACCTGCCCTCCACTTTCTTTATGTAAAGAGGTAGAACAAAAAAGCTGTCCTTTTTCCCCTTATAGCTTTGATTTGAGCCAGTTTAGACATTCTGAATCTAGTGCATGGGTTTTTCTATAAGAAGAATGAGGCATCAAAACTCGGCTGTCAATCAAACTCGAGTGACTGCCCAGAAGCCCTTCCAACATGTTATCTTTGAAACAAAATAATTGAGGCGCTACATATAACAAAAAGCACACATGAGGGAAAACTCCTAAGGAAGCCTCGTGTGCCTGAGCCCAGTATGAAAATTCATGCAATAGAGAAAGAAAAGGATCAAAGTGTATGCACACTGTCGCGTGATGCGTGAGGGCAACGAAAGCTTGGCACTCGCATAAATCGCTATCATTGTGGTGGCGGTATTTCTGTGCCTCCTCCCGAGCACAATTCCAAGAATGTTTGCACCATTTTCGCTTCTGTTCTTGATTCCGCTTCCATGCTTGATCCTTACTCTGTCTATGACAACCCCCCCCCCCCCCCCCCCCGCACGCCGTAACCAAAAATTCAGTTCTTCGGATTCCTCGCCACAAGCTTTCCGAGGTCAAGTCGTACGGCATGCAAGTTTGTCTGTGTGGATGATTGTGCACGTGCGCAATGGGGTGTCGGCTACAACCGCCGTCAAAGTGAGAACGGCAGGGCGCCTCTTTTGAACGAGTGGCTATTGGAACGCGCTCGCTGCTCTTCGACGCGTGCTCTGGCTCTGCATGCTCACTCGAGACACAGGGAGTTGGTGCGAAGGATGACAACACAATCCCCCGGAGAGGTTCCCACTATCGGCTGTCTAAAAACTGCACGCAATGAAGCCTCCCTCACTCTCAGCAGACACCTGGGCTGCTCAACTTAGTGAGGCATTCTGACAACATAAAAGAGCGACAGACACAAGGAATATGGTATTACTACATCGACGGTAAGTGAAGAGAGGGGACATGTCTGGCATAGGGGCATGTAAAAGTTACAAGGGTGTCCAAAGAGCTTCGATTATACACCAGGCGAGTTTGTCCGCTTGTCGCACGGATGATCACGGTGATGTAACGCCGCCGTGCTCTGGGTGGAAGATTTCAACAGTCGGGTGGTGAAGGCGCAGCGCCCGCGAATAAGTGGAAACGCCGATGCTCGCTGGGAGTTACAATGGCTGCCTTGCCTTTGCTGTTGGAAAAGTACTGTTTCTTTACGGACAAGGAGAGACTGCCAGAAAGCGGAGTGCCTCGAAGGGTGCGATGGTTTTGTCCAAGAGAAATGCCACCTGCTATGGAGAACAAGCTTAGCCGCAAACACGATCAATAACGCTCACATTTTTGCACCTCCTCCCTCGTGCGTAGGGGGGGCGCATTTCGGTTGCATGGCGCATGAGCACACCGAAAACAAAAAAAAGGAAGAACACCAGGGAATCGCACGATTGCAAACCGACCTTTGTTGTCCTCTTTCTCCGCCAGGTTCTTGAGGCTCGCCATCAGCACGTCGTCGTAGCCGAGGAAGTTGTCGAGGAGGAGCCGGCTGAACCAATCTCCAAAGCAGCCGTCTTCAGACGGGTCTGCGGCCAAAAGAAGAGCAAAAGACATCCTATTAGTCTTAGAGGCAAGCCTGGCAGCCATTGGCCCGCAGCTCTCAAGTTTAGGGCAGCGCCCCTGGCGAGCAAAGTTGGATACGTCTAGGTTTCTTTCAAGTTCACATTCCCATGCTAGCCCCTGTAGTGTAAATCTGTCAAATACAACAACAAGAACAGAAATGTTGACGAGAAGTCATGTTGGCATTTTGACAAAGGCACCAAAGCTGTGAAATGTGCTGTTCTTTTGTCGACTGCAAAGATCTTCAAGTTCTTTCAAACAGTCTGTCAGCATGTCTGGAGAGACGCTGCCAGGTGCTTATAGGCGACCGTGGGTCGTGCACGACGGGACGCTACGACGCCGCTTTATGCGACTCTTTCGTGTTCGTGTCTTGTGTAGACCCCACTAGGTGTCCCTGTAGACCCCACTAGTGATCAGGATCACTAGCAGGGTCTACAGCACCTCTTTCGTGTTCATGTCTTGTGGACACCGCAACTCCCTCTCGCCGAGACAAACGGGCCCATATACTCCACTTCAACATAACCTGGCAGAGCACAAACGTTACAGCACCCGTGAGCCAATAAGAAGGGACAAATCAAAACAAATGACAACTCTCCACACAAGGAACGTAAACCAATGTTGTGCAACTCAATCCGATGCTACGATCGGCTATCTTTGACCGCAGCTTTTTCTGTTTGCCAACTTACGCTGAAACAGAGTGAGCAGTAGAGGAAACGTTCGGCGCTTGTGACAGCAGAGCAGTAACTCATCGTAATTGTTTATCTCAACTGCCTAATCTTCACAGGGCATTCGTAGACCCCTATCTGGTTTCAATGGACAAAGTGGTTAAAGGTTCCTTTCTGACTTGAAAAGGCCTAGACTCAGATGTAGAACTTCCATGCATGTCTTCAAAATAAAGTGCAGGGGGAGGGGGGGGAACAAAACATTTCCACAGATATCTTTCGCTTCGTGCGTCCTTTTCTCCTTTGCAGGGTCCTACAAGCATTACCCCATGGCTGCACTCCTGTAATCCAGACCCACGCTTAAAAAAATAGGCTTCCCCACCGCAAAATGCACAAGAGAGCATAGGACGTTGAACATGAACAGAAATTGTGTTGTGTGCATGTTGAGCCGGCGGGCAGTTAGGCGGTCTTAACAGGCATCTGGTGTTTCTGCCGTAGATGAGAAATTTAGCCAATGGAATGCAAGCGCAAATTAGAGGAGCGCAAAACAGAGGGCGGCAACTGCCGCTCCCCCCGTTCCAAGCTTTTTAGGGCGACTCCTCAAACGGAAGAAAACGACATACACCAGCCTTATTTAAGAAGAAACGTTTCATTTTTGGTGAAATGGCTATTATTAGGTCGACAAAATAGACTTGGGAAACGCATGTGCTTATGATGTCATAACCCGCCAGTGACGCTAGATTGTTTTGTCCCTCCCTCCCTCCCCGGCCTCCCCAAATAAAGATATGCACATGTTTCGGAATCACTCCTAAAAACACTGAACTCCCACGAAAAGATACTTTTTAAGTGCCGGTATTGCTGATGTATGTCTACATTAAGTGCCGGTATTGCAGATGTATGTCTGCAATATTGGCAATTAATTGCAGACAACGGCACTTAAAGGGAAGCTACGAAGCTTCTTGGAAAAAATGAGTTAGAAGTGAATTCTAGTGTATTTGTACCCCATGAACCCGAATACCCAAACCATTTGCCGCGTAAGTATTGTTAAACGCGAGAAAAACGCGAAAGACAGTTGCTGTCCGTGACGTCATCGACGGCTCTTTTGGCTGCCCAAGGCTAGGGAGGCGGGGCTTCAGTCCTATTTTGAAATTGCTCGTATGGCTCACCGCCGCGTCGCATTGAAATACAATTTTGATATCTGTTAGTCTAAAGGCCAAATGAATGCAATTCAAGCGTTTTTTCTCAAATGTAGAAGTGCCCCATCTTCCGTTTAATTGCCAGCACTTAATTGCAGACATATGTCTGCAATACCAGCACTTAAAACCGAAGTGACCCCAGAAAAAAAAAAGTGTTTTGCACAATATTTACATCGCGAGTCAAGTTTCGATACAGCAACAGCTCAAGCACGTTCTTTTATTTCGGCATGTCCTCTCATAATGTATGAGCATGTTACCGTATTGCATATTGCACTTAAAAATATTTTGTATATTTTTTTGGGGGAGGGGGCAGTTTATTTTGTGACATACGTGTTCCATTTAGGAATTCAACAAAAAACACTTTTCTGGTTCAGTGGCAGTACTACAGCTACAGTACCGAGAATGCCAGAAACTTCCTCACCCAGGGTCACGATCTTGACGGAGATGTTGAGCTTGTGCCTGGTCGCATGGCTCAGCCGCAGCAGCCCGTACTCCAGGGCATACTCCACAATGTACTCGTCCTGAGGCCACACTGGAACAGATGTTGCGCAAAAAAAACCATCTCAAGTCGTGCATCATTGCACTATTGTTTAGTGCCATCACATTCCGCCTGTTCATCGTCGCTGCCCTCAACGCGGCAAAAATGCCGTGAAATTTAAAACGAATGACCGCTGCCATAATTGACAATTCATTGATGATGATGACCAACAAATTGGCATAGAGGTAAACCCTATGAATGTCTCGTCAGCTCGCGAAGGTAAAAAAAAACCTCAAAAGCTTGCCAGAAGCTTTAAAAACTTGCAAAAAAACACCCAAAGGAGAACTATTTAGTATCCCAACATCATCGGCAGCGTTTAAATAACTTTAAAACTAAAGAAATTGGTGCCAGCACTCTAAGACAACACCATGTTTTTCCACACACGCAATGTTTCTACACATTTCGTGTTGCGACTGGCGACTTGTTAGTGCCTCCAAAATAAACTGCAATCAAACATTTTCTGTCGGGTTCAATGTCTGGCTCGGTTGAGGCGACCAACACGACACCGGTCGCAAAAGTGATAAGGCAAAGTGATGCCTTCACGCCCTTTTACTAAACGACCATTCACTAGGCACTGTTACTTCAGTTACAAATTGCCTTCCAAACTCAAAAGGCCTTTGCTCGGAAACTCACCTGCGCGCGCGAGCATTTCAAACTCTGAAACCGTTTCCTGCAAGGGCTGTGGGTACCCATTACCGTCCGTGGGTAGAGAGGCCTCCACACTTCCGTTGGGTGCCAATTCGTAGTAGACAAACTCGCCGTCGGGACCCGCGGCACCGCGAACGCGCGTCCCGAGCAGGGGCGGCGCCTCCGCTTTGTCCGCCGGCCCGCCGTCCGTCGGCGCACGTTTCGTCTTCCACTCGTTCGTCGACCCCAAGTTCATAGGAAGCGCGTTTGTTGGATACGAGTTTGCCAGAAGCCTCTTCGTTGGACCCGGGTTCGTCGGCGTCACGTTCGTGGGATCTGGGTCGATCGCAGTGCCGTTCGTCGGGATCACCTTCACCAGCCCCGCGTTTGCTGGGTCGGGCTTTCTGGCTGCTGGTTCCGTCGTCGTCACGGTTTTGTCCATCTCACTCTCCTGCTTGACGGGTTTGTCGGGGGGCACCTCGGGGAGTGTGGGTGCCTGGCCCATCCGTAGCAGTCGCTGCTCTTTGAGGTAGGACTGCTCGAGCGTGTACGGCTCCTGCGACGACGAGGAGTCCCTGAGGATCTCGACGCGCAAGATGCCGTCTTGGGGCCACTGCTGGGACATGTGGTCCAGGCAGCTGATGGGAGTCCGGATGAAGGCCGCATGGATGTAGGCCAGCACGAAGAAGGACACCAGCGCCTGTCGCGGGACGGAACGGGGACAGGAAATGGTTAAGTGTGGGGCACTAGAAATAATTTTTGCGCACGTTGCGAGACTTGTTTTGAGTTAAAGGGAAACTGAAGCGGTTCTGTATTTGAACAAAAACACTTAAATCGTCTTTATTTAGCCTCCAAGATCACGAATGTCGAGATTATTTCTCATTTAGGCACACAGAGACTGCAGAAGACCATTTTCAAAGTACCGCTGATGCCCATCTCCTTATCGGAGTTTGACGTCGTACAGGGAGTTTTCGGAACCTCTGCTCTCGCACGCCTTCACCGCCTATCAAAGCTGTGCATGAGCACTCTTGCGGTTTTCAAAAAGATAAAACATAAAGACGTCTCTAGTCGTGTCAGTGTCGGGAAATATACCTGGCAAGCTTGCAATTGCACACGCTGCCCATACGAGCGACACACGCTTGGCGGCCAAAAGATCCTAGTATGACGTAACGACTGGTTGGAGGTTTTCGAGTTTTCTCGCATTCAGTTGCATCTTTGGAGAAAACGAATGTGATATTCAGATTCACAGGATAAAACTACGCTAGAATCAACCTTTATCTCATTTTTTGAAAGAAGTGCTTCATCTTTTTTTTAAGGGCAATTGAGAAAAATGCTTCTATTTCAGGAAGTTAAACACAAAATAGAAGCATGTTTCGGAATTGCTGAAATGAGTCAAGTGACACTGATACTGAGCTAAATTTGTTTTTGTTTCGAGGGAAATCTTTTTTTTTGTGACATACACGCCCCATCCAATCACTTTAAAAGAATGTTTTTTTGGGGAGTTCAGTACAAAGAGTACAAGGAATCGCTTGTCAACGGTCTTCAAAAATCGGCCATTGCACGCGTCTCTACAAAATGTATTTTACGTTTGGACACCATCTTGCCAGCATGTCCCTAATGCTGAACAGTTATAGCACACAAGGCACCGGTTTAATGTTCTCCAGTTCTGGTTCCTGTTCGTCGCAAAATGAAATATCGATTCCATCCCTGTTATAACTACCAAAAAACTACCGTTCTTTATCGCTTTGCTGCTTGGATTTCGGTTCCGATTCAAGCACCTGCTCTAGAGTGCGTCGACACGGTGCCCGGAACGGGTGTCCAACTAATGCGTTTACCACGTCCTGAAATGTGGTCCCGCCGCCCGATGGCTTCCGTCTGCTAGAACGTCTATGACCTACTACCAGGATCGCAACATACGACAGCATGACACGACGGCCCGTCCGGCGTGATTTGTTTCCACTCGGGGGCAACGTACGACGCACGCCAGGTGGTGTAGGACACTATACAAATCACCAAACGAAAACGAGTTCCAGGGGTCAGATCTTTGTTCTCGTGAGCGCGCGAGCGGGATCTAATTTGCCTCTCGCAAAGAGGGGTTGTAGGAAATCGCGTACCGCCGCCGATTCGCCGTTTCCCACGTAGTCCGTCAACAACCCGAGTCCAGCCTGGTTCTTTCACGGGAGCGGGATTCCGCTTCCAGTTTATTGGAACAATAAAACACAACGCTACAAAACACTCAATCTAAACTACAAATACAAGCTACATTACACAAATATTTACAAATGCACGTTAAGCCCAAAGCTAAACACAAAGAAGGCCCCCAGGCCTCGTGTCCCGCGATTACCCTAGATCCGGTCGCCACCCACTTGCCTGCCAGTGCCTGCGTCTCGGTCTCTTCTGGAGTTCTTTGAGGCCTCTCGCCCCCTCCCCCACCGAGTATACATCTATCGATGGGCGAGGAGGTTTCTCCTCGCCTGCCTTGGGGGCGCCTGCAGCGCCCTCCAGTGGCTAAGAGAGAAAGCGGCGCGTCAGGAGCCGAATTCGAGATCCCGATCGACCCCGCGGCAACACGACCATGTGATTGTGTCGCGGCCAAGATTGGCCAAATGGTTTGATGGGCGCCTTCGTGAATGCACGGTGCGCCATAAGGTGAAGTAGCGTTTGCATGTGGTTCTTCTGTCGACGCCGGCAAAGAATACGTTGCTCGCACCGACGTCACTTGGCCGGACGTAATGGGGGAAAAGGGTGCGCGAAAGGGTACCTTGCTGCCGCGCTAACGAGAAGCTTCTGGCCACCAGAAAGAGGGGCGGACTTTGGGGAAAGGATGCGGGAGAGCGTAGCTTTGGCCGAGTCAACAGGGTGCTTCTGGTCACCGGAAAAGGGGACGGATTGATGTCAAGTGCAAGCATTGTATGGGAGTTGCCTGCTAAGGAGTGTCAATCACGGATAAAAAGGAAACATGAAAACGCCATTCATTGTCTGCTAATGAAACCAAATAAAGTGGATCATCTGCTACGAACCGAGTGCAGCGGCGAGGTAAGATCGGACGCGAGCCGAAATTGTTATCGTCCGCTATTTCACATTGGAAGCAATCAACAACCCGCAACATTTTTGTAAATTTCAAGTCATTCGGTTGTCGTACAAGAGCTGATTTTACCGGTGCATGAATGAGTATTCGAAGAGGGCATGTCGTGATCCACCATATCTCCCTCACCGAAATATTGCCCAAATGTGGACACGCAAAAGTGACCAAAAGTTTCTCGACGGCTGACGACGCGCGCCGAGCAGAAAGCTGCGACGCCTCGTCCAACCAGCAACCAAGAAAGGTCTTGCTCTCGCCCCGATCGAAATCAAACAGGAGAACCGAAGCGTCGGCGTCGCCAGCGAGGCAGTCTCCGTTCCTACCCGGAAACGCGCGTCGCTCGATGAGGGCACAAAAATCACCACCACCGGGGCCCACCTCACCTTGACCAGGGTGACGTACTCGAGCAGCGTCCGGACCCACGGCGGCACAGCAGTGGCGTAGGCAAGCGCCACTCGCACGAAGAGCGCATGGAAGAGCCGGTCTCGCACACTGTTCATCGGGCTGCTTGAACTGCTGCTTCCGGCCACGTTCCGAGACGGTGGGACGTTGTTCAGGTTGTTCGGGTTGTTGTTGTTGTTGTTATTTGCGGCGGCCGCCGCCCCGAGCAAGTGCGGCAGGATCCCCATGTTGAGTGCCATGGCGCCGCCGGCACGTGCCAACCGCCTTTCCGGGGGGGAAGAGAGCAGCACCGGACTTGTCCGGCGTCACGGTGGCATGAACGCCTAGTGCGATCCTGGAATGAAAACGAGAGATGCACGTGAGAAAACGCTGTTAAATAGGCCTGTGCAAATAGTTGATTTGGTGTTTAAAGCGAATAGTGGTTTTGGCCGAATGTTTTCTAAATCAATATCAGTTTCTCTAAGCCTTTTACTACTAAACTGTGCCTACATAAAAACCAAGCTTAACTCATCAAGGCTGTTCCCAAGCTTTCACTTGTTCATTTCTAAGCTTAGTTCATTTTTATCCTGCTATGCTTGTTGGCTGTGACATAAGAAAGTTCAACGCCTACATTGGGATGGCAAGTAAACGATGCATATTTGACATAAAAATAGAACCTATCTAAAAGTATTTATGCAGTTTATTTATTTTGAAGATACTGCCGGCCAACCTTTGAAGACCAAGGCATGGTGTAGACGGAACATTACAAGAAGTCAGCAAAACAAATATATACACACAAACATTCAGTAAAACAAGGAAACAATTTAGTCCTTAAGTCCATTCTAACAAAGAAAAGTTCACCAATTGCACTAGAAAATGTTGTAAAAGAGGCAAGGCCTGTCATGCTGTGCGGCAACTTGTTCCACTCGCAAACGGTACGAGGAAAAAAGGAATATGTTAAGACGTCTTTCATACAACAAAACTGACAAATCAGTCTCTCATGTTTCTGTCCTGTGTCACGGCCCACGTTGAAGGTAGTCATCAAACTTTAAACTAGTTTTGTTATGTATGATGCTATGAAAAAATTTTAAGTGCTTTACTTTCCTTCGACATGACAACTAAGGCAGTCCAGATGCAGCATACAAAGGGTAAAACGAAATATCCTGCCGTGCCTAATCGAGGGAATTTATAAATATTCTTGCTACATGGAAATATTTTTTCTTCAGTCCCGAATGGTTAACGCAGGTCACCAAGGCATTTCTGCCTAACATTTACTCGTGCATAGTAGCCAGTCTCATTTTGAAAGTTTTGATTTTAAAAATGCAGATGTCAACTTTCGCAAAGTTGCCGTTTCTTTCTAAATACATCAGGCGCACGCGTTCGCCATCCCGCTTTGGAAGTGTGCTGCCCTCCTAAAGACGGGGCTCCGATAATGTACTTTTCGAAGTACAGATCGCGGAGTTTTAGCCCCGTTGAGTGCGCTTCTCGCCGAACACGGGTGTAGCGCGGAGAAGCAACACCCGCGGAAGCGAGCTCCGCGGGTGTTGCTTTCCCGCAGTACACCGGTGCTCTGTAAGAAGCGCGCTCAACGGAGCAAGCCTGCCGCATTCAACACTTTGAAAAATACAATATCGGAGTTTACTCCGAAGAGTATATCGAACAGAGTGTCGAACGGAACGGAACGGAACCGAACCAAAAACCGGAACCGAACCGTTATTTTTAGCTGAACCGGAACTGAACCGAACCGAAATCTTCGCTGCTATGTTGGAACTTAACAGGAACTGAACCGAAAAAAGTATAACGGTAACCGGTTCAAAACGGTTCACGGTAATTTTTTTTTATTAAAAAAATGAACATTTGAGAAATAAAAATTCGCATCTGGGTATTTGTATCTAGAGGTCAAGTTGTCATATACCGAATTGTAATGTATCAAAAACAGAATTTTTCCTGACGGTTTTTTATTAACACTATTAGTCATGTTTCGCGTGGTCACGTGACGTCATGGTCTCACTGCATATTGTCAAGTAATGTCACGTCACATGGCCCCGTGATGCAGTCACGTGAATCCCTTCGTCGAGTCGACTTAAATTAAGAACGTCACTAGATGTATTAGTGTTATTGGCACCGTGACGTCATATGATATCACGACTTGTCACCGAGGGTCACGTGACAGCATGACACTCGATTATCATGAGCCTGAGTCGAGTGGTCGGGTTCATGACAGTAAGCTTCGCCAAACATTCGGGTAATGACTCGTGTTCAATCAAAGATGAGAATTGCCGAACTCTAACAATGTCTAAAACTCAACCCAAGATTTACTTACTCCTTGCCAACTCAAGCGGATGGCTATATATGATGAATACTATACGGTACATGACTAGCGTCAGATCACGTGGCCTCTTGTTCTAATGGCGAGTTGAGCGGGGGAAAGCAGTTTCCTTTATTTTTTCTGCGTCTGCCATGAGAAAATTTAAAAAAAACTAATTGGTGTTTTTGCAAGTTATCAACGTCAGGGATTAGCTCTGAGCGGTATTCACTGAAAGTTCAAAACATTGTTGCACTACCTATTTTACATGTACACATCATTAATGCACCCAAACATGTGTTTGTTGTTGCTGAACTATCTCAGAAAGCTGTCCCCAAGAATAGAATCATTTAAACGACTAAATGTGACTTATCAATACGATGATAAATAGGACTACAAGTGTGTACGGGCCGGATATCTGAAAAGAAAGATACCAGTAGGCTTAAAGGGACACCCGAACGTTCGCATCATATTTAATGCCAGGGCACACCGTGTGCCAGGGTCACACTCATTTTACATCATGCAAAAAACAGTCTGCAAACATCCGTCATTGCCCAGTTTCTTTTTGAGATCGTTTCCGTGCGGTATTCGAAGCACGGATCTAGTGGTGACTAAGTTCGAATTTGTTTGCAGACTGTCCTTTGTATGATGGATGAGCAGAGTCACCTGGCTTTAGTCTGTGCCTTAGTCTCACAGGAGTGTCGTTCTCTAGTTCTCCCCCAAGCTTTGACAATCTCCGTATTTTGCTTAAACTTCACAGTTTTTGGATGCAAAATAAAAGAAATGAAGGATCCCCATTAACGAATGACGCCTATAATTGTCGAATGAACACCCCCAAGCAGAGGAGGGAGTCCTTCAGGAACAAAAAGTAACATCTGGAGGAGCATCGAAACGAGAAGAAAAAAAAAAGGGGGGGGGGGGGGGGGGGGGGTTTAAAAACATACTCTGTCGTAAAGGTTCCTCAGCTCCGCATCTTCGGCACAGACCAGAAAGCGTAATCCTGGAAACTGCTTTGTTTGCAAAAACACTCTTGCCAGAACGCCGAAAAAACTCTTTTACCAAAATTAAAAAAGTTTTTTTTTTTTTTTTTTTTTTTTTTTTTTTTTTTTTTTTTTTTTTACGAAGTGATTATTGGTTACATATAGGGCTACCAAGAGCGTCGGTGTGGTCGGCGAGCCGATTCGAAAACGCACGGTCGAATTTGTCGTTCACAACTGACGATCCTGACCCTCACGTCAAGGAAAGAACGCCACTGAACGCGCCTGCACGCTACGAGCCCTGGCACGAGCCTCTTCCTTGGAAGTCTGTCATGGTCGCTCGGGAGTTCATGTAACGCGAACAGTTTTAATTCGAGAACCTCTACAACCATCATATACGTTGCATAGATCACTTCAAAATGTACGCATTCTTACGGTCTTTGTAAAAATACTGCAAACTGGCGTGCGAAAAGACAACATAAAAATGGCACAGCCTCTTGGAGGCGAGTACTATATCAATTACAGTGATATGATCGGTTGGAGTAATTTTGGAGCACCTTTTGGAGCAGTTAAAAGACCACTTTGCAGCAGCAGAAGCAACTTTTGGAGCACAAGTTTACACTTAGTTTACAAGTTTACAATCCTATCACTGCAAATGCTATACGATACTTTTCAATCCTATCACTGCGAATGCTGTACGATATAAGATCAATGTGCTGGCCTGTCCATCGCGAGAAATCGTCTATTTTGCCTTCCCACTCCCGAGCAACCTTTTGTTAGAATCAACTGCACGGCAGGTTTGATTCCCCCAAACGTGGAACTAGCTGTTGAAGTTCCAGGCACGACAACAACATGTTGAATTATTATAAACTGTAGCGAATGGTTATTTCAGGTACAGAGCTAAAGGTAAACAAATAGTATATTCCTCGGAAATCATGTCCGAACAGAATAATATTGAGCACCCAAGTTGATGTTCCATCAAAGTCCTAAATTTCGTAATAAAACTGCAATTAATAATTCAGATAAAATCAAAATTTGTCATCTCATTAAAAACACCAATGACAATTTATATCTGAGACTTCATGATAACAAAACATCGTCATCTTGAACGATATATAAGCCTCAGAAACAATCCAGTCGAGCTTATTACGAGTATTCCCTAGCTTGCATCCGCTCGTCTAGCTAACCGAGTTCTAAAGGCCCGTTCACACTCTTGCGACCGAGTACGACTGAGAGAGACGAGATCTCTTAAAACTTCTTAAATGTTTTTAGAATGAGGGAACAGACTGGCATTGTGGCGCCATCTATGCGGTGACCCTGGAACTGCATTTCACAAGAGCGAAGGTTTTGCGGGATTTCCGAGGTCAAATGTGCGTAATACCCATAGAAAGGCTCGTTTACAACATTGACAAAAGTTTTTCGAGCCAAGAAAAAAAGGACAATGCGCGAGAAATAAAAAAAAAATATGCCGGACCGCCGAGTTTACACTGCTTCCCAATAGATGGCGCCAGTGTGTTCTCTGGTTTAAGAAGTTTTAAGGAACCCAGGTCGCAAGAGTCTGAACGGGCCTTTAGTCACTCCGTTCACCGTGCCATCGCACAGATGGAACCTACGTAAAGGCAAAGCTGAACCAGAGATATTCACTTAAAGTATAATCCTATAGAGAAGCCCACATAAATCTTCCCGCATTACACAAGCATCCTCGCTAAATCTCGAATTTGAACAAAACAATAGTCAGAATATCGCAGGTTATCATATAAACTATCCGGAGTTTCATTCAAATTATTTACTGCAAGGCATATAGAGTTGTTACATCAGCAATTACCAATTTTTTTTTTTCGTTTTTTCAGCCCGAGGACGAGGAGAAGGGGACTTTTTATTTTTAGTACGCGGTTGAGGTGCGGCGATGGAATAATACATAATATCGCGATTTCTACTCCGCGGTTTTCGCTTCAATGCAGTGCTCCAGTAGATGCGGTGAGAAGCACACTCAACGAAGCCACACCTAGCCCACCAGAAGAGACCGCGAACGTGAGAATATTGCGTCAATTCCTAGTACGTGTTCGATAAAGA